ACGCCCTTAGGCGTATCATGTAAATGTGAAGAGCGCCCGTATTTTTTACAGACCATCGGTACCAGGTGGGTAATGTGGTCAGCATTACGCCGGCAGTCTTTACTCCCCCAGGACAGCCATCCTAGTACCCGTTTTAAGCTGGGTCGGCCTTCGACTCCCCATACCATGATACAAATCCACGTAGCCAACAGTGGGTTTCGATCGCGGTACGTTGGAATTACGAGTCGGACTCGCAAGGCCTAAGCCTCGGATTGGTCTATAGAAATATTAGTCATGCATCAAATGTCTGAAGCCCTCACTAACATAAAACAGGTTCTTTGGCTTTTACCAACACAAATGCCCTTTGGGAGCGAGTGAACAGTGCGGAGGCGCAGATAGAAGATTACGGTCTGAGGAGAATGGCGCTGCGAGGAGTTACCAGGGGATCTGGCTGACGCTCAACACTTAGGGGTAGGATGAGACAGATATACATTAAGAAGGTTACTGGTACAATCGGAATTGGAACTCTTCGCTGTCTGTTGAATACCGGGACTGAGCAATTTTGGGAGTGTCCCGAGTGCTGGGATGTTAATTCTTAATTCAACCTTCAACCGAAAACAATGTGAACCGTGTTGTGACTATTATTGTGCACATTGAAAACATCATGTTTCTGAGATGTGTGTGTGTTTGTATGCTGTTTGTGTTTGTGTATGTGTTATGGGTTGAGGAGGGGGTTAGAGAAAAAAAGATTGAGGGTGGGGGGTGGGAGGGGGGAGAGGAGAAGAGGGAGTGTATGGAGCGAAGTTGTTAAAATGTTTGCCTAACATTCTGAAGTATTGTGGGATTGGTTGAAGGATCCGTAGCCGTGTTAGCAAGTTTAGCCGCTTTGAATATACCTTGAGGGCGACTCTTAACCTATGGAGTTTGTGCTTTGTGTGACACTCTTGACTTGATAACAGCGGCTTTACACACACACACACACACACACACACACACACACACACACTCACACACACACACAGATAGATAGATAGATAGATAGAGAGAGAGAGAGAGACTGAACAGTACAGGATAACACCGGGTGCAATGCAGCCTTTGTGTGACACTCTTGACTTGATAACAGCGGCTTTACACACACACACACACACACACACACACACACACTCACACACACACAGATAGATAGATAGATAGATAGATAGATAGATAGATAGATAGATAGATAGATAGATAGATAGAGAGAGAGAGAGAGAGAGAGAGACTGAACAGTACAGGATAACACCGGGTGCAATGCAGCCTTTACTTTGACCCTAATTCTTTCATACCCACCAACAAACTTTGCGTTTAAAGGATATGTTTTTCTGTCTCCTTATTCTATGTTATATTCATAACAAGAGATTGGAAATATATGAACCTAATATGCTTGACATATAAAATACAATTGCTGTGTGAAACATGAGTGTTTGAAAGGAAGAAATGCTTGCCCAGATTGTGACCTTTTGTAAATATAGTTTAATCGTTAATTTGTTCCTTCGTCCATCTAGCTCGCGCATTAACATATTTTGTCCCATTCTCCACTGTCTTTCATTGTGCAGTAGTAGTACATTTTACCCCACTAGGACATTACACAAGCGGTAAACACCAGACGACACAAAGTGCCACCATGTGGATGAGGATCACCCAAGGAGAGGTTCCGGAAACCGCGTTCAGCCATTAGACCATATTTATAGCCGGACTATATAGCGGTCCCTGGCATTTTGTCTAATAGTGTTTTTTTTTTTTAAAAACTCGTTCAGATCAAGACATATCTTGACTGAAAAAAGGAATATTTAGAACATGATGAGTTAAGGTTATGCCTGGTTGTAATCGAAACAGTAAAGGCAAAAATAGTCCCATAGCACATACATCTGTGAGTTTGTTACATTTTAAACCCTCTAGACCTGTTTAAATACTTTCAAATAATAAACAACCAATTTTTACATTTAAACATAGTGTAGCAACGTCTGAGAAGATGGCAGAAGTCTTAGGTGTCCGTACAAGAGATTTTATTTCGAAGTAGTTTTTATCAGAGACCTAGCGTAAAGCACGATTTTGTAGCGAAAACAGTCGTTTCACATCCCAAATTGTGGAACAGTAGTCAAAATGCTTTTGGATATAGGATATCACATTGGGTCGGGAGTGCAGAGATTGGCCAGCGGGTGCTACGGAGGATGAAGTCCAACAGTTGATTTACGACAATTCACGCCCAGGTGATCTGATTATCTATACAGATGGTTCGGTAGTGAGAGGAAAGAGAAGTGCCTGGGGGTTCGTAGCGAAAGCCAATGGAAAATCTTTAGTGCAAGACAACCTAGCATACGACACCACAACGTCTAGCATGAGAATGGAGGTGGAGGCGGTAACTGCAGCTCTTCGGTGGCTAGAGAACAAAATGCATACACATGTCGTAATTGTAACAGACTCTGAAAGTATGCTGAGAAAAGTGAAGACAGGGATGCTTCGAGCAGAATGGCAAGCTTCACTGGAAAGATCACGGGTAGTGAGCATTCTTTGGATCTTTTTTCCTTGTCATGCCAGCGTGGTCGGTAATGAACAGGCAGACAGATTGGCTGGATCTGCACCACTGGGTGGTGAACTGATGCATGACAGGGCAGATGTTGTCAAGGCCTTTTGGGAACAAGTAACGGAATCAGTAGAGAAACATGATTATTATGGCCTAGAGAGAATGAGGCACCTGAGTGTAACTAGAGGGTTTGGCCGACTCGCTACACTCAGTGGAAGGCGAGACGGACCTACAACCAAATTGTGACCGGTAATCATCAGTACTGGAACTCTGCGCTGGTTGCTGAAGATGAGGACGGAGCACGCATGGGAATACCCCGAGTGCTGTGATGTCAATTCTTGACATAACTAACTAACTAACTAACTTGGATATAGGATAGGTAAAATATTTTACATGTGTTTTTGTCCAGAAAGTGCTGAATTTTGCCATGTTGATAATTTTTTTGGTATTTAAAAAAAAAAAAAATCAATAATAAAAAATCAAAAAATCATTTTATGAACAGTTAAAACACCTAATGTTTTGTGTTCAACACTACATTAACAAAAAGTAGTCTGTTAATGATGAGCTCAAGCAGTGGTTTGTGTACAACTAATATTTGTAGCTTTTACCTAGTAGTTATTACCATGGATTTAGTTTTATTTATATTAATTTGCATAAAATAGTAATAGAGTAGCAGCAGCAGCAGCAGCAGCAGCAGCAGCAGCAGCAGTAGTAGTAGTAGTAGTAGTAGTAGTAGTAGTAGTAGTAGTAGTAGTAGTAGTAGTAGTAGTAGTAGTAGTAGTAGTAGTAGTAGTAGTAGTAGTAGTAGTAGCAGTAGTAGTAGCAACAGCAACAAAAGCAGCAGTGATAGTATTGTAGTCTAAATAGTCGTAGAGGAGCATCAGTAACTGTAGTAGTGGCAGTAGTATAGTAGTAGCAGCAGCATTAAGCGTAAAAGAAGAAACATATATATCAGGAGTGATAGTAGCATTAGTATGCATTCAACCTGTTATATTCGTAGTAGCAGAAGTAGTAGTAGCAGAAGTAGTAGTAGCAGAAGTAGTAGTAGCAGAAGTAGTAGTAGCAGAAGTAGTAGCAGCAGAAGTAGTAGTACCAGCATCACAACCCACCATGTTGTAATTGTAATGGACCCAGAGCCTGCTTCGGAAAATAGAAACTGGTGTTATACGTGTAGAGATGTTTACATCACTTGAAGTCAGGAGCATATCATTGATTTTCTGTCATGTGTGCGGGGTAATGGGTAGGCTGACAGACTGGCTGCTGCGGCACCTCTGGGTTGAGAGGTACTTTTTGATTAGCGGGAGTGTTGAAGGTTCTCTGGTTTAAGTGGACGGTGACGGTGCCATTGCTTAGAATATCCATATGTTGAAAGGCTAATTCAACGGTGTCCGAGCAGAGGGTCTTGGACATAATTAACACTGAAACGGGTGGACGCTAAGTTTGGTTGCAGCTGGTAATATTGACTCTTCGCTGGCAGCGGAGGAGATGAGCAGCAAGCATGGGTTTGTTCAGAGTGCAGGGACACCAGTTGTTGACTTATTCATTTATTTAATCCTAGCTGAAGTATAAGCAGTAGTAGCAGTAGTAGTAGCAGCAACAGCAGTAGTAATAGCAGAAAAAGTAGCAGTAATAGCAGTAGCAGCAGCAGCAGCAGTAGTAGTAGTAGTAGTAGAAGTTGTAGAAGCAGTGGTAGTTTTGGTGGTGGTGGTAGTAGCAGAAGTAGTAGCATGAGTAGTAGTTGTAGTAGTACTAGCAGTAGCAACACCACAGTAGGAGCTGCAGTAGTGGTAGTAGTAGTAGCAATCGTAGTGGTAGTAGCAGTAGTAGTATTAGCAACAATTGTAGTATCGTTAACAGTATTAGCAGCAGCAGTAATATCAGCAGTAAAAATAGCCACAGTGGTAACAGTAGCAGTAGTAATAGCAGTAATATAAGCAGTAACTGTAACAGCAGCAGTGATAGCAGCAGAAGCATTAGTAACAGCAGTAGTAGCAGTTGTAGTAGCTGTATTAGCAACAGCGGTTGTAGTAGTAGTATTAGTTTAAGTATTAGCAGTAGTAGTGCATGTGGAGAGAAAGAAACAAGAAGATAATGAAAAAAGGAAGGCTGCACTGGCAGCAAAAAAGGAATAAGAAGAGGGTTTGAGAAAATGTCTAAGATAAAACAATACAACAATACAAGGATAAATATGATCAACAACGGTAAAGTCAATCGATGATACACATATGTCACTTCTGTACATTTATTTCATTTTAATTTTCCGTTTACTTTAGCGAGTAGACCTTTTTGCAGACTGTTGACCCACAGCTGTTCGGGCAACATTTCTCGTTGTCACCATTACAATCTTTATTGGTGATGCATTTGTGCTCATGAGATATAAATGAACAATAAATGTAATCCAGAGAATACGAAGAAGACACTAGCGGACATTGTCCTTCTTCCTCTGTCCCAGAGACACATCGGTACTTTGGAGCGGCACATTGCGATGTCGGACATCCTGTACTAATGTGCTGACACTTCAACCCAGCGGGACAGCCTCCACACTGGTCATTGGTAGGAGCCACACATTGTTGCTGGACACAAGGTTCTTTGTTACAGAAGGTTGGGACTTCCTTGCAGACTTGTCCGTATGGGCAGCCACCACCACATGGTACTTTGCTGACACACGAATACACACTGCCCGGTGTGAATCCAGAAGGCTTGCAAACTTTTCCAGCCACACACCCTCCACATGGATCGACACATTCGTATGACTGAGGGCATGGGGATTTAACACATCTGATATTTGTGTCCCTGCAGTATAGACCTTCGGCGCATTCTGAGCATTGTCGAATCTGTAGAGATGATAAGTCTTAATTATTAAAGAGGCAAACATTTAGCCGGGTGGGGTTTACATTTAAAAGGGTGATAGAGATACAGAGAAAAAGGGGATATAAAAGGAAGAAGAGAGAGACAAGAGGAATAATAGTTTCAGGATAGAATAAAAGATGCAAGGTTCTCCTATGTGGAGAATGTAGTTATAACGTGTCTACACCCCAGAGGATCAGGCGATAGTCAATGGAGGACTAAAAGAGAGTTATGCGGTGTCAGTATGGGTATAACAACTACGACAACTAAATCGTGATACACCGCCTATTGTTATCAAACTGTGGAATAGAAGAATGACAACTAACCATCTTGTTTATTAAATGAAAGAATTAGAAAGTCGTGTATCTCTTATTACATAATCAAAATCACATCAAAACACAACATAATAAACAGGATGTTAAAATACGTTATAATCAGAGTGAGCCAACTGCTGCTCACATTACAAAACCTTAGATATTACAACAGCATAACATTAATTACAACTGCTAGCAGAATCTACACTTCTGAACTAAGAAGTTAGTCACAGAATCTCCTTCCTTGCTGTTGTTCAGTACTTAGACACAAATACCATAATACTATATTTCGGCCAACTACTATCTAGGTAAAAAAAGAAAGTAAAGATCCCTTTTCACGCCTTTCGGCGCATCGGGCATATGAGCCGAGCGTCCCATATTTTTACAGACCATCAGCACTGTGGGTAATGTGGTCAGCATTACGCCGGCTGTCTTTACTTTCCCAGGACAGCCCATCCTAGTACCCATTTTAGGCTGGATCGACCTGCGACGTCCCATACCACGACAAAAATCCACGCAGCCTGCAGTGGGTTTCGATCGCGGCATGCTGGCTTACGAGTCGGACTCGCAACGCCTTAGCCACGGACGCACCTAATAAAGAGCCAACTGTCAAATACAAATTATCAATCCATTTAAATCATGACCGCCACTGTCTTGCCACAAGTCATTCAGAGAGGTTTCATTAATTCTCCCACAGGGCTTCCCAATTCCATAAAAGGAACTACAGACTCAGTTCCACAGAATTCGTCAACATCACCAGACGGTATTCGTCACCCCTAAAATGTCGTTCTTAAGGTCTCATTTCGAGCATGTATCCCCCTGTCTATCTGCTCCAGCTATATATGAGACTTGAGGCCATTGCATCCGTCCTCAAAGTATGATCAAACTTGGTGTTTCGTCCTAATTATCTTCTGCTTTCTCCTCTGCACATACGTTCAGTGATCTGTGTCTTTCCCGCCAATCAAGCACATTTCACCGGGACCAGCCTCTGAGGTTAATACACTTTGGGAAGAGCCCCAGCACCATGTATAGGTGCTTTATTTGCTGACTAGTTACCTCCCCTCTCTGAACAACTGGGATTTACAATCTTCGTAAGCATTGTTTTGTTAGTATGGCTTTCAGGCAGGATTTTAAGTCGTAGATACTAAGTACCCTCTTGTAAAAGTTTAACAGAAAATTCTGTTGACTGTTTATTTTTTTTACGTTGCAGTGCTTGCCACGGTAACGTATAGATGAGTTAAATAGATGGAATTAAATGGAATGATAAAATAAATAATGTGGAGCTTTCGGAGAAAACTAAATAAATTCGAGGGAATCAAGAGGTGATGAAAAGACGTTGACGTTGGATAGGGTACACGTTCACAATTTTCCAGAGCAATATAAATTGAATGGCTTTACGTGTAACCTGCAAGGCCATAGGAATCTGCTCCATTGGGGGATGCGTAGCAGAAGAAGGAAAAAAAAAGCGCAAACGTGCAATTGCCATTGCCTTTTTCTGAAACAATACTAGGACCTCTTGTTGGTGCCCCTCTCCCCACTCCAGATAAAGAAGAATGAGGATGGAACCTTTCAGCTCTACGTTTTTCTTCGTCAGTTCTCCCTACATGGGTTCAACCCATTATGTTTCTTGACTCACAGCTGTCGTATTCCAGAGAGCATTGGTATTGAGCATGTTAATTTAAAAAAAAAAATAAGAGCCACGGTTCACAATTGGTGGTCACATTTAAAAAATCGTTAACATCATTTTACAAGAACAACAACAGCAACAACTACTGCAGCCATTCAACTGTTTGCTGTTGATGTTGTTGTTGTTACAGTTCTAATATAGATTTACTCACTGTATACAAAAAAAAAAAAAAAAAAAAAAAAAAAAAAAAAAAAAAAAAAAAAAATGGATATTGAAAGAATGGAGACTGTGGTAGACTTTTGATAATAAGAGACGCCAGCAGGTCTTACCTAACTAGGAACCACTGACATAGAGTATGTAGCAGGAATGTATGGTGAACGTCCACTAGGCTTGCCGTAAAAGACATTTGTTATGACTCTGCCATCAATCAATATCAGTCAATCTCAACTGTTGCTTAGAGGTTAGTGAATGTGTTTAACAATTTTATGATGCCTGAGTAAGCAAAGGACTCTTTCCCACATATATTCAAGCGTATAAAGCATATAGGACTACACCTGTATTCTATGCATTATTGATTACAGGGGGCTGCGTGGATTTTTATCGTGGTACGGGACGTCGCAGGTCGACTCAGCCTCAAAATGGGTACCAGGAAGGGCTGTCCTGGGAAAGTAAAGACGGCCGGCGTAATGCTGACCACATTACCCACCGAGGGCCGATTGGTCTGTAAAAATATGGGTGCTCTTCCCATATGCCCGATGCGCCTAAGGGCGTGTAAAGGGATCTTTACTTTTACTTTATTGTTACTCTTAAAAATGAGTGCTTAGAAGAGCGGAATGTCAGACGGGCCTGCATGCCCAATTTGTAACCCTTTGAAAATAAAGTTTGTTCGTTCGTTCGTTCGTTCTAGAGTTCTTTTTCCGCTATAGACTTTTATTTAAAAAATATTCTGGGGGCGGAAGTCTGGACAGTAGAATGAGAGTCCTACCGTGACAGAGACTGAAGATTTACTACATAATATTCCCAAAGACAGCAGTGGGTTTACGTGGTCAGCCAGCATAGTGGACACGGCACATAATTTTTGCCGGCTGGCATCACACGTTTCACCAAAGAGATGCACTTCCTACTAACACATTAGAGGTCATTTGATTAAAAGTTCAACCAACTATAATGGACCATTTTTAAGTTGAAAACGAATATGCTTTAAAACTGGACATAATTAAAAAAAAAAAACAACAACGTATACAGTATTTATTCAATACAAACCATATAAGAAAATTAGATAAATGAGAAGTGCTGCAGGAGTGATCAGAAGGGATAAAATCAGAAATAAGGTTATCAGAGAAAAGTTAGCACATAATAATTGTAAATGATAAACAATGACAGCAAATCACATTTTCCCACTTGGAGAGAAAGCCATTTGACGCGATAACATACCAGGCATACGTCAAAAAGGTAAGAAGGACGTAGAGCACAATGTAGACCAAGGTCTTTAGGGACAGAGTACAAAGAAACTCAGCATCACAAGTCTGTCGTCGAGGCAGCTAGAAAAACAAGAAGCGGAACCCAAAATCTTTATCGACACATAAAGCGGTAAAAGAAAAAGTGAATAAAAGGCAGAAGATGATATTGACGTTTAGGCAGAACCACCACCACCCCCCCCCCACCTCCCCCGATATAGAGAATTGGACACTTACATTCTGACAGCTTGCCAATGTCTCACACTGTCTGTTGCTCCTGTTGGGCTGTACCAGACATGATCTGCCTACAGCTGTGCACGCCGTACCCAGTCCACAGCTGCGGCTACAACTTATTGTCTGTGCCGGCACACACTTGTACCTTCAAGAAGTGCAACAATAATGATCAACATGGTGTTATATTATTGATTTATGTTGTCGAGTTTTTTTAATAGTAATTTTAAATATAGTTCAATTATTGAGAATCTGCAACGTTCATTGTAAATTAATACTAAAGAAAATGTTTGTTTTATTGCCTGTTTCTTTCTTAGTTTTCTTTAACAGTTTCGTTCTTACGTTGTCACTGTCTTACTTTCTTCAATTTTCTTGGGGACGGGGATGGGGGGGGGGGGGGGGGTTTAGGGATGGTTTTGTTCCTTTGTTTCTTTATTTCCCTCATCTTCAAAAATAAATAAACAATGGAAGAAAAAAGATGACATCAAAAGGAGAACAAACAAGTCTTATAAAATATTATATATAGGCTATATATTCTCTGTATCGTGTTGAGATTAGTGAACAATTTCATTAAACATTAAATCCGTGTCATCTGGGTAAAGATTCGACATCACACCATTCAGCAAGCACCTATGAGCCCTTCTTCATCAGCCAGCGAAGAGTCACTATAATAATGGTACCCGTCGTCATCTGGATGAATACTAGCCTTGCCGTTCCTCGGAGGCTCGAGGTTCAAGTGTTCTAACACTTCCATTTTATCTGTTACTTCATAGCACAGGCGAGAGATCAGCTCTGTCTTGTGCAGTTGAAATACACTTCCGAATGGAGCCATTCCACCCTCCTCCCCCATTACTTACAAAGACTGGGATTTCAGACCTGTAAAAAAGAATAATTGCAAAACGACTTTTTGAGAACTTGAATGATGTCACAAATGGGCAAGTCCTTTGACGTTGTCGCAGTATATAGCAACAATGAGTCTCAAATACTGCCAACGTCTCTTGAGTTTGTAACATCATTCAATGTCTCAAAAAGTTGTTATATAATTATTCTTTCTTACCGGTCTAAAATCCCAGTTTTTGTAAGTCAGAAAGCAAAGTCACCCTGACCCAGAGACTGTTATAGATAACAATGCTTTTTCAGTAAGGATGATCATTAAAGTACTCTGAACAGATCCATGGGTGCTCTGATCTACGTTTCATTGGCACCACAAGCAAAACTCGGCTGATAGCTCCAGTTCTGTGTTCAAGAATTGAACGTCTGCTATCCTTGGTGTGACAAACCAACGGAATATTTCAGTCCGGCAAAAGTTTATTGCATCTTTTGGTTAAAATAATTACGCACTTAAAATACATATAGATAAATATAGATGTGGGAAGAGTAGAAAATGTACGAAGGCGCACATAACTTATGACGTTTTCTTAGTGTTACTGGGAGAAAACCTTAGAGAGTCATTCGTCACTACATCAACGACAGCCCCAGCCTTTCCATCGGCCTAACACCAGAAGAAATAGTAATAATAATAATAATAATAATAATAATAATAATACGAATTCAGGTGAGATTTAAAATGGTAGGGAGTAGCTGAGATCCCCTGTAAGCCTTAGCTGTATCCTGAAATATTTTATCGAGATCCTACCATTCTATATTCTATCATTGTATAAATATTCCGTGACTTCATCAACCTTGATACTTGTCCGTTGGACAATGGTAACTATTTACTAGTCCCTACATATTATGACGTTCTTTAGGTTACTATTCACAGTTAGGACTATGCATTAGCGAAATTTCCTTCCCTCTGTCATCTTTTCTGAAAATATTCATTTTGGTTTCCTCGCGTAAAGATCTTACAGTATAAACCATCATCCTGTGCCATTTGGTATCATCAGTTGGGTATACACTACATTGCTTATGTTTATTATATTATGCAACATACAATTTGAGTTACAGTCGTCAGCTGTGTGGGCATATAGGGTTGGCCTATGTTTTATAGACCAAGTGGTACCTGGGCGTTGATGTGGTCAACATCACAACTGCCGCCTTTACTCCCCATGACTATACCTGGTGTCCATTCAAGGCGAAGTGGACCTGGGTCTGTTGGGACTTGAACTAACGACTGTCCAATCCGCATGCGAGCTTGTGTCCACTTAATCATGTCAAGTTTCATATGATCGTGCAAAGAATTGTTTATGTATAAACCAAAATATTATTACCGGCTAGAGAGATTTATTATTGATATATTGCTCGTGGGGAAAGACAGTGTTTGTAATACCTTGCTCTTTCCCTTACTAATCTGATAACACCACAAACACCGCAACACCTCTACCTGCCCCAGATGTGTCGGCATAATCCTCACCACGAGGCTGATTGATGTATTTTCCCAGGTTCCCTGTAACACCATGGATTGTGAACAACACGGTAGAATGGAAAGCCGAAATTAATTGACGACTATTGCAGATAGCCAATCACTACCATTGTTACCAGCACATTGTCCTTACATCAGGAGAAGGCTGTATTTCACTCGAACTATCCTAGAGCTGAGTGACGTTTTGATGCCTGTGAATATGTATTGTGGTGTATGATGAGACCGTGATTTGTTTTTTCCTCTTTTTTTTTTTTTCAGTTGAATAATTTGGATTCCTGAACCGTGTTATGTCAATACAATTGTTGATTTAGAAAACTCAAATATCGGATTATATCAATTAGTAACGATTTTAATTCCTTGTGTAGACAAATTATCGTACGTTGTGATTTATTTGAGTTCGACTTCCAAGGTGTTGAACTTTGTTATTCTGAAGTTTAGTTAGAAGAATAATTATGTATTCAGTTCTATTCCCGGGATTCACCCTATTGGTTTGATTTTCTGTATTTTCCTTCCTTTCTTTATAAACTCAGGGACCAATAGAATTCCCCTAGACTTTCTTAATTTGAGCCCTGTAAAATATTTAGGAAGGATTATAGGGGATCTCCAGGCGAGGATAAATTCCGTCAAACTAGTTTACCACACTTGGTGAAAAGTTTGTACCCGGCAACTTCAGGCCTCATCATAATGTCCACAAAACTAGGTAGGGTTATGGAGTTATGCCTATAACCGTAATAATCTTTGAGATATGCATCTCATTTAGCATTGATGGTTCTTGCCAGACCTTGTCATATGAACGACGCGAACACCCACACAATCTGACATAAAGATAGGGGTTCGATTAAAGATGAGACAGGTATAATTTAGTCTTTGTTGTACTTACACGTATTGATCACAGTTTATATCTGATCCACAGTATCTGTCATCAAAAACCACCTTGCACTTCTCACCAGCAAGACAGCTTTTGCACAGATCAGGTACACATCTGAGTTTCTGATCATCTTCACAACTGTGTGAGCCTGCTGGACATCTGTCCACTGTTGCACATACAGTGCCTGTGAAACACAATTAAAATAAATGACCCCGTTTCACAAAAGGAAAAGCACTGGATTATCTCGGGAGCCCTATAATTTTAGAAGCTGCGGTAGTCGCTTGCTTCCAGCTTAAAGGTCTTACGTTCAATTTGTTATCAGGGCTGATTTAAAAAAAAAAAAGAAAAGTACATCACGTTCCCACGACAACTCAACCTAAATGGATACCAGGAAATATAGTGGGAAGTTAAGCAGGTCGATGTGACTTTTAAGACATCACTATAAGACTGTTAAGGGACAGTTCTTGCAGGGAATCAGTGGCGTTAGAAAAACAAAATCATAAAAAAATTCAATTTTGAAGATAGGACTCTCAAATTTTCAGACATTATGACCATATGATCAGGCTATCATATATAATAAACATCTTTGGAATTCAATATATACATGTGAGATAATCTTTTTAGGTAAACATTTTTTTAAATATGCAGAATATAGATGTTACTTCGGAAATATTTTTAGGGAAATGGTGAGCCAAACTCCTTCAAAATTAAACTGCACTAATAAAAATGGTGTGAGTATAGCCCGGACCATGGAAAACAGTACACACATTTACACGATTTTATGTAAAGCTACCTGAAATTTTGCTCCTTTTGTGTGTGGAAAATTACAATTTTAAAATTACATATAAATGAACACAATCATGATATAAGAATTTTAATGGTGGAGCATGGCAGGCTAGACGATTTACTATAGCACTTCGAGTGTAGTAAAGTATTGCAATGATCATTAAATCTGGGTCATCTTGGTAAAGATTCGACATCACACCATTCAGCAAGCCCCTATGAGCTCTCGTCATCAGTCAGCGAAGAGTCACTATAATGATGGTAACCGTTTCATCTGGTTTATTACTGGCCTTGCCGTTTCTCGGAGGCACAGGTGTTCAATAACTTGTTTTATTGGTTACTTCATCTCACAGGCGAGAGATCAGCTCTGCCTTGTGCAGTTGAAATACAGTTTCGAAAGAAGCCAGTCCAGCCAACCTATCTGCGTGCTAATTGCTTAAGACAGATACATATTACTGAAATTACCTGAATTAAAAAATAATAATATAATTTTTGAAGATCAAATAACTTATTTCATTAACTGATGTATAAAGAAACACTGCATTAACGATGGGAGATGGGAAGGTATGTTTACTGGAAAAGAAGGCAGAGGTAGACCACCACTATTATAAACACAGGGTATCAGGAACACCCTAGGCTAGCTCACAAGGCGACAAAGCTGGGGTGAGAGGCCTTGACTCACATCCAAAATTTGCCACGGGGAATGTGCATAAACTTAAAAAAATTACTTTAAGTCGTTTGCAGGTCCTGTGCCATAGGTCCTGTACGCTGGTCAGTCTCTGTACAGCTAAAGCCAGACTTTGACTTCTTGCAAACAGTTGGCACTGCTATTTCATACTGAACCTATTCAAAAATGTGCGACACTTTCGATGTCTTTGTTATCGATTTCAGTGCGTGCTTTATGTGCTGCATTCTTCTTCATCTAGCAGCAGGTAATTATTCTTACCAGTCGGACATCGACTACACTGGTCACCAAGGGAAAGAACTGGGCTTGTACACTGGTTTCCACAATTTTGACAACATTTAAGGCTTCCAGCGCAGTCGGAGTCACGCAGACACGTAGTACCACCACATGCAGTGCTTTTTGTCTGAAATAAATAGAGATACATCGGTCAGGTCACATAAAGTTTAGTGCGCATTTTTGCTAAGCTAGTTAGAGGGTTTCATTTCACATAAAGTTACATGATGTTTTCGACCAGTATGGTTCTGATATAGGCTTCGCCTCATATTCACACATCGCCCCAACATAGCAGGCAATTTTTACAAAAATAGTAAGCTTTCCCCGACTGTAATGAGGGGCCCTAATATAACCGACGGTTGAATGGGATTTCTGGGACTTGCAGCTGGGTGATTCTCATCCAAATGGTGGCAATCTGTGCAATATGGTTATCACTCGTCATGCAGTCCTGGTGGGTTTAATCGTCAGTCATCAATCATTCACTCCCTAACTGGACTGCAGGATGGTTGGTAACCGTAGAGGTTCCCACATATAACTATGTATGTTATATGGCTTAACTGAGTTTTCGGGATTTTCTGCAGTACGATTTTCATCGTTGAGCTCATATACATGATCAAAACAACATAGTTGAGGAGTTTTATCACACTGTCATATTTAAGCGAGAAGAAAAGGATTGATTGAGACTGGGTCCTAACCAGATGATTTTGTTTGAAAATCCTACCTACATCATGGGCGTTGAAACTTGGGCCACAGTAGCTATCTCCACTCCCCACAAACAATTTAAAAAAAAAGTCGGGGGGGGGGGACGAAAAGAGGGGGGGGGGGAGTGATTGTTGTATGTTATATTAGGAATCGACATCATAGCACTCAGGACACCCCCATAAGCGCAGCAAAAGAAAAGTTCCAATTCTGATGGCGCCAGTAACTGTCTGATTACATATCCGTCTCGTCTTTCCAGTAATGATTAGTTAGCAGAGACCCATTATCCCGCCAAGTAGAATCTATTTTTTTTTTTTTTTGAGGATTTATTTAAATAATTCCCATTTTAGGGTACTGAAGTAGGCTCCGTCCCAGAATGTTTTTTTCTGGCTGCGCACCTGACCTAAGTGGCGAACTTACTTCCTGATCGCGTGGCAGGAAATAAGTTAACAATGAGGTCAACAAAATATCAGATTGAAAAAGAAGAAAAAGAAGCATATAATAATGATATTAAAAAAAAAAAAAAACTATAATACAGTGCAGACCGCTTAATAAGATCTCGGTTTACAGCAATATTTCTGGCTCTCTTACCTATGAAAATAAAAACAATAAAAAATTTATGATAAGAAGAACCATTTCTTGGACTCCGACATCAGGTCTTCACTGTAATAATAATAGTAGTAGTAATAATAATGATAATTTTAATAGTAATAATAATAATTAAGTAACTTTTTTTTCTTTTAATTCTTACCACCGGACACGTTCCTGGCTTGTTGTCCAGATACGTAGGTCCAACCTTGTTCCTACAACAGGTCCCACTTCCTTTACCATCCTCCACACAAGCCGACCCAGCTGGACAAGTATATGACCCCGTGCATTTTAGTGGACTGTAGCCAAGAGAGTTGTATGTGGTCCTCACCAACAGAGCTTCAAGATAGCCATAAGCCTGGCATTCTCGATCGAGATCTAGATGAGAGAATCAACGACTTTTATAGGGATTAGTAATTTAGAAGACTCTGTTCACGTCAGTGGTAGGACAGGTATATGATGTCCTAAACTCATTTATATAAACCAATCACCAACTGCTCACAAATAAGCCAGTAAATGAGTTGTACAACAGCAATACGCAGGCCTTGGCACAAAGCCAAAGTCAAGATGGATGAACTTCAGGACTTTCCGCTGGAGTAAACAGCCGGTGAACAAAGAAGAAGAGGAAGACAAACAAATTGGTACTTGATGAGTGATGTAGCAGCCATTACTTCGGCACCCTTTACTTCCCAGGATATAACCTGTTATTAATTTTACTCTCGGTCGAATTGTGAGCAAAGGTAAATAAAAAAATGCGAACCTGTCCTATCAAGGCTCCGTTTTTAATATTTATTTACATATTAATGATAGGCTACGGAACGTGGGGTTCACCCACCACAAGCGGCCTCATTGCAATAATTTTTACAGGCTGAGCTCCCTATCCCTGTCTAGAATATATACAGGTGACCAAGTATTCATTAGTGATTTCTTTGAGGCAGCGGCTCTGATAGTAATCTTCGTCTGTATTGTCTTTCACATTTGTTTACATTTTAAGTAAAGTAAAGGACCCTTTCCCTCGCCATCAGGCGTATCGGCCATAAAGTCCTAGACCTTTGTGTTTATCGGGTAACCATCTTTTGGTTGGTCATGTCGTCATCATGCCGACCGCCTTTATTTCCCACACATTTAAGACTAGGCCGTCTTGAGAGCGAAGAAAATTTTTTAAATAAATAATAATTTAAAAAAATTGGTGGTCAAAGGCCTCAGCCAAAGAGCGCCGAGACATGGTGATACAAACGGTGAGGGACAACGAAAACGAGGTTCGGGTTCAGAAAGCTGCCCAGCAGTCGCAGCAGGGCCATTGGGTCAGCCTGGAGAGCGCATTGCCGAGAATACTCACATGGGGTGAGATCTGGCGGATGACCCCGCTGCGACTGAGCTTTATCGTTCGTTCGGCGTACGATGTATTACCGTCCGGTGTTAACATGGTTAAATGGTCTGCGACCAACGATCCGACTTGCCCGTTGTGCAAGTCGAAGCAAACTCTTGAGCACGTCCTGTCCGCGTGCAGGAAAGCTCTAGGTCAAGGCCGATACACCTGGCGCCACAACAGGTGCTACAAGGAGTTAGCAGCCGTTGTCGACCAGGCTAGAATGAGGGCTAATGCCAGAGCCAGTTCTAGTATCGCCCCCATTCGTTTCCTCAAGGCTGGGCAGGTTCCAAAAGTAAAGTCAACAAAACGCATTCGCTCCATCTGTGCTAGACTCTGCGAGGGACTGGTTACTGGCGGTTGATCTGCCAGGCCATGAACGGTATCCCGAGTTGATCCGTAAAACCGGCCTGCGACCGGACATCGTTCTCCATTCTGCGCAAAAACGGCAACTCATCCTGATTGAGTTGACGGTCCCGTTTGAGTCGCGTATGGAGGAGAATCATTTGTACAAGCTCGAGAAGTACAGTGATTTTTAGCAGCCGGGTTTGAGGAGAAACGAGGCTTACACAGTACGGGTATTTGCCGTCGAAGTGGGAGCGAGAGGCCTCGTTTCCACTTCGCTCTACAATGTGGTGAAAAGAATTAGGATTGCGCGGTAATGAACGGAAACGAGCACTCAAAAAACTTGGTGAGGTGGCCGAAAGGGCATCCAGCTGGCTTTGGACGCAGCGCAACAACGTAGGGACGGGCCTCGGTGAGCTGGTCCGGGTATCTAGTGGAAAAGAGTTTCTTATCCCTTTGAAAAGTCCATCGTGTACGAATTGTCTGCCAGTGTCTCTCTGCCAACTGCTAATAAAAGTCCAACGTGTGTCCGGTAAACCAAAGTAAGGCTTGTCGCTCGGTCGTCCAGGCACGCTGACTGTTCTAATTAAGCTGCCGCGGCGACTTCTTATCTCACAGTACCTCCTTCGAAACCACCAAGTCGTCTTGTCTCTGGCCGAAAGTATAACACCATCCGGTAATTCCGTGCAGCGGGGAACCAGCCCTGAGTGTCATGAACTCAGGTGGGCCCACCTCCGAATACGTTTAGGAATCGTGGGCCGAAACGTGTGTCGACAGAGGATAATTTCTACTGATGACTGGTAGATCCCCGCTGTACTTGCTCCCTGTGAGTTTATTCCTACCCCTATAATAAAAGAGCAACTGAGCTCTCACAATGAGCACCTACCTTTCAGTAGTTTGTAGTTTTCCAAACACAAAGACTATAATAAAAGACCAACTGAGCTCTCACAATGAGCACCTACCTTTCAGCAGTTTGTAGTTTTCCAAACACAAAGACTATAATAAAAGAGCAACTGAGCTCTCACAATGAGCACCTACCTCTCAGCAGTTTGTAGTTTTCCCAAACACAAAGACTATAATAAAAGAGCAACTGAGCTCTCACAATGAGCACCTACCTCTCAGCAGTTTGTAGTTTTCCCAAACACAAAGACTATAATAAAAGAGCAACTGAGCTCTCACAATGAGCACCTACCTTTCAGCAGTTTGTAGTTTTCCAAACACAAAGACTCGGCTCTGCAGATGTTACAGGTCAGACAGACTCGGCATGAGGTTTCCAGGGAACAGGTATTGTTGCAGACTAGAGGCGGGTGGTCAACTGTGGAATTTTATAGACCCGAAATTTGTATTTACTTGATTCCATGTGGTACTATTAAATTATTTCTTAAATAGTGAAGAAAGTGAGGACACTTCAATGGAGTTGTCCTTTAAAAACAGAAGACAAAGTATAGAAAAAAAAAAAAAAAACACTGATAAAGATTGTCGTAGTCGATGTTTCAACTTCACTGCAGTCGGATTTCCCCATCCTAGCTCCGTTTCTATAGTTGAAGTAGTAGATTTTTACCCCAGCAGGACATCACACAAGCGATAAAACCCGATGACACAAGTGCCACTATGTGGATGAGGATCACCCATGGAGAGGTCCCAGAAACCGCGTTCAGCCATTAGACCATATTTATAGTCGGGCTATATTGTAGCCTCTGGCAAGAGCCAGGGTGGGGCTTCAAAATAAAGAAAAATTGTATCTCACAAGGAGATGATTGGATAGATGAATATCCGTTCCTGTGTCAGTGAATATCAAGTGAAATGTCCCTCACTATCCCACTTTATGAGTAAACAATTAGTCCCGGCAAATCCAGAAATATGCGCACACAGTAATACATATGGAAGTTTCGAGGGTTTGCAAAAGCAAACAATCGCCACCATAAATGCAATCTGTCATTGACGAAAGCACTCAGTCACAATAAGTTGGCTATACAAACGTAAAATTATTACGTAAGGTATTTCATCAGTCAACACCTGAACCGGCTACCGGCCTCATTGAATACCATGACTCAACCACTCACAAATGAAAGGCATTTCATATGAAAAGAACAGCTCACAGCATTGCAATAAGCACCAAACTCAGTACTCAGACAGTGAAACCGCAGACTTCCGCCCACATGCAGAAACTGCATTAGTAAAACGCTGTCGGAAGCAAAAATAACTTCCAAGCTAATCATTCTGCCATACCTAGTCCTCCATATTAAACCAGACACCACTAATGAAAGGAAAAACAGCAAGCCACTACTACAAGAAACTACGAACCCAGTTCTGTATGCAGATCATTCAAAATTTTTGCAGTAAGCATGTTTTAGTTAAAATCCAATTGAGATGGAAAGGCGTGACAGGAAAATCAGAAAGAATGAGTAACTAAGCATGACAAAACAGTAATATCTGTTATACAAACATGCAAATTACTTTTTATACCACGAATTACTTCTATGGCAGTGAAGATGATAGCAAAATGTGGCGCCATATATCTGAGTGATTGATACCATTTTGTCAGTTAATGATACATCTCAGCATCACTACTATCACACTGACATGGAGTCTCTAAATCACTGCATGAGCTTTACTTAAACAAGGATATTTATAAATATGCTCTCATATTCTTCTTCCTCTTCAGCAATCTGGGCCCTTGAAATTAATTGCTGCAGATGCCACTTGCCCTCATGCATTTCTCTTATTGGCCTTCTCTTTTCTGTTGGTAACTCAAGTATTTGTAATGCTACAGTTACATTATCTCTCCACAATCTTTTCAGACTGCTTCATAATTTATGACTCTTCCACCCTTTTATGTATGCTATTGTTGTCTCTGTTATCTGCAATTCTCTGTATGCCCCCCACCATCGCAGTCTGTTAGACCTCATGATGCCAATAATTAGTGGTGATTTGAATAAATTACGAATTTTATTATTTTCTTCTCACTCCACGTTATTTGCTTTTTTGATCGTTGAAGGGTCCATCTATGTATTTATTGTAAAACTCTTTTCTCAAAAGCTTGTGTTAAGTCTTCGCCTCAGTTGTCAGTCAGAGCGATATAGCACAAGGGTTGAATCAGTGATGTGATGACATAAAGCATTTGATTTTGGGAGAGGTTATAGAGCATATTATACCTCATTTCTAAATTGTACTGTATATTGTAAGAGCCACCGTGGTGTAGCGGCTAGATGCTCGTCTGCGCATCCGAAGGTCGTGGGTTCAGGTCCTAACGGAACAAAAAAAAAATGATCTTGGCTTCTAGGTAGACCAAGCTTAAATAAATACTAGGTACAGTCCTGGGAGGTAAATGCGGCCGTCGTGGTGTTGACCACATCAAGCACCGAGTGCCGACTGGTCTATAAAATGTAAGTCTAGCCGTATACAACCGATCGGTCTGAGGGCGCGGAAAAGGGTCCTTTACTTTACTTATTCTAGATTGTATTTTACCTGTTAGTGACTTGGAGCAGTTTAAGTGTGTAATTCACACGGAGAAGAGAGCTGGAGAATGAAGTTAGAAAGATGGGGAGGACATGGGGAGAGCTCCATGTAATGGCTAAGGATAGAACCACTTGGCGTGAGTTGGTTGAGGGCCTATGCTCCATTGGGGGATAGAAAGGCAGAAAAAGAAAGAAGTGTGTATCCGTAAACGTGTATGTTTCTGTTATTTCTACTTTCTTATTCTTTATTTGTAGTTTCTATCATTTCCCCTCTTTTTATATTAAGAAGAATTAATACAGTGTTCACCACGGTAATTCTTCACTAAACACAAATTAAGTGTTAATTTCTACTTTCACAAATTGAAAAATCATACCTGTTCTCGTCTCACACCTGACACCAGTATAGGCCTGCAGGCATTCACAGTACGGGCGGTCACCCATAGCCAAGCAGCGGCCCCCGTTATCACATCTGTAGTTGGTGCATGGATCTGTTTGAAGTAAACAAAATTAACCTTATGATACCATTATGTATGTGTTTAGTGTTTAGATAATAGAGGACATCACAACATTCGGGGCATTCACATAAGCGCTCCGTGCTTATCTTCAGCAGCCCGCGAAGTGTTCCAGTTTTGATGGTGCCAGTAGCAGTTTGATTATGTCTGTCGTGTCTTTTCTCTGAGTGTAGTGTCATTCCAAGCTGTACCATTCTTTTCAGTCCTCTGCATTGTTCACTTGTTCCCAAAGGGTCTTGATCACACCTAGCTTTACCCTTTGTCTGTCTGTCTGTCTGTCTGTCTGTCTGTCTGTCTGTCTGTCTGTCTGTCTGTCTGTCTGTCTGTCTGTCTGTCTGTCTGTCTGTCTGTCTGTCTGTCTGTCTGTCTGTCTGTCTGTCTGTCTGTCTGTCTGTCTGTCTGTCTGTCTGCCTGCCTGTCTGTCTGCCTGCCTGCCTGCCTGCCTGCCTGCCTGCCTGCCTGCCTGCCTGCCTGTCTGTCTGTCTGTCTGTCTGTCTGTCTGTCTGTCTGTCTGTCTGTCTGTCTGTCTGTCTGTCTGTCTGTCTGTCTTTCTTTTTTACATATTCAACCCACATACACACACATAAACACACATATACACACACAAAAATATGTGTATTTAATTAGATGGCCTGGAACTATCCCATTGTCGCTGTTTCATTGTATACTTCCATTCACCCTATACTAATAAATTTTGACCTCACCTTGTTTAGTCTCCTACCTTACACCAAGCTACCCTTGGGGACATTTACAGGCTGCTAAATTTGCCTTGGTTACACAAAGACCCTAGTTGTAACAGACGATAATATAGCTGGCCGACGGAACTATATATTTTCAGTCCATATGTGCAATAACCTTTTAGTTGTAAATAATCTAGGGACTTTTCAACAGTTGCCGGAGTGTCTATGCTCAACAGACTGATAAATAACATGAAATAATTAAAGCTGTGAAACTGATGCTGTGTGATCTTGTTTTGTGTAGTGCTCCTACATAAACTTACCCAGTTTAGTCTCACACCACGTTCCGGAGTAACCGTGGAGACATTCACAGACTGCCACATTGTTTCTGCTTGCACAACGTCCTCCGTTATAGCACATGATATTTTTGCATGGATCTTAGGAGAGAAAAATGTTTGTTACCTACAAAGGCGATAACAACGGTGCAATTATTAAAGTAGTGAAAATAAAACAGACTAACGAGTTTATGTTTATTATGGTAATTCAAGATCGGATCAACATCATGGCATACGGATGTAACCCATAAGTGCTCCGTTCTACTTCTAACTCAAGCGTAAGTGTGAAAAATCTCAGCGCAGTGCACAAACTCTGTTGCACCGGCGATATACCTGAAATATTTTTGTTAGATTTTTAACTCTAAATTTTGACAGGGCAGCCCCTTTGGGCTACTCTTTTCGATTTCTAACTGCCAAATAATATTTTTTTTACGTTTGCAATAATACACATGGGAGTCCGATCTTACTAATCAGAGACCACGTGAAAATATCCCAGCGTTCACCGGGGCTTGAACCCAGGACATGCAGCACTCGAGGTCGACACCATATCTCGAGATGACTCAGCCCCCTTTACAGTAATACAGTCAACGAAGAACAGAGGAAGGACATAGAGGAAGAACATTGGAGTAGAAAGCTTTTGGCATGAGTTTGTCGATGCCCATGATTCAACTGAGGATAAATGACAAAAAAGAAAAGAAAAAGAAAAGCAGAATAAAAAGGAGAAAGGAGAAGGAGAAGAAGAAGAGAAGAAGAAGAAGAAGAAGAAGAAGAAGAAGAAGAAGAAGAAGAAGAAGAAGAAGTAGAAAAAAAAATGGGTTAGTTGCGTATCCTTTACAGGACGTTGCAGAAACAACCCCAACAGCCCCAGGCTGTTGTGTGGTTTTTCTAGGCAAATTTACGTCCAGTAGATTGCCATAGAAGAAATAATATCTATCATAAATGTGTGGTGTCACACCAAGTCACACCAGGTGTGCCTGAACTAGAGAAGATAACTGTAACTTCTAATACAAACTTATTTAAGTGACTATTGACATTTAGGAGTGACGACATTAAAATACAATACATTCAGTAAATATCGTTCATTGTTTCTGCATTTGTGAAGATGAAAATTCTGTGTAGCAATACTGTTGTTAATTCATACTTGTTTTGGACTTGTCAGAAATTGTCGGGAAATGAGCGGATCTGTATCAGGGAGAAGTGAACACGATAGACAGATTGTATATGTAAAGCCGAGACTTCAGTCCCTGGTCTTGTATGGGATATTAATCTTTCTTGAACCCACCTTGTTTAGTCTCACACCAAGTACCGACATAACCTTGTGGACATTCACAGACTGCAACATTGTTTCTGGCTACACAGCGACCACCATTGTAGCAGACGAGATTTTTGCAAGGGTCTTTAGAGAAAAGACAAACATAATATAAACGAAGGAAAAGAAAAATACAGAAATAAACAAAATTGACACGTATAATAGCAAACACATTCAACATTCGGTTTACAAAGGGCAAGACAAAAGAAAGGGCCCTTGACCAGTGTTTCTCGATAGTTAATATTCTAAAACCCAGACGAGTAAAAAGACAAAGTTTCACAACATTAATTAATTTGTGCAATATATATATATATTTATATACATACATACATACACATATATATTTATGCGTGTGTATGGGTAGGTGTGTGGGCGCAGACATGAGCCTGTGTGTGTGTGTGCTTGTGTGTGTGTGTAAAAGAGAATACGTTTTAGCTACCCAGAACTATTCCTGCTGCAGGGAAGGGAGTTTTGAACTTCTTCAACATTGCAAGCGTTTACAATTCATAATTTCGAATATCTGGCGGCTCCCTTCATGTCTGTGACTAGCATTTTGTTTCTATGCGATGACTTCAAGTGTTTGTACGTCAGCTCTTCATGACCTTCTTGATCGGCCTCATGGTTATAAACTAGCAAGCAATCTATAATGATTTAGCAATTAAACATTTGTTTTTAAAATGGTGTCCATTCTGTGTTTAGTTTACCTTGTTTAGTTTCACACCAGGTGCCAACATATCCCTGGAAACATTCACAGACTGCTGTGTTTCCATGAGCTACACAACGACCATTATTGTAACAGATTGTGTTTTTGCATGGGTCTGAAAATAGACAATAATGAACAATTATACTAACAAAGAAAACCAAATGGCGAGTGCGACTAAGAAAACCGGCCCGCGTTAAGAAACGTCTTCTACTATTAGAGTATGTGATTTTAGGACCAGTTTTGTCTCATATGTTTTTAGTGTGTTCCTCATTAGACATTCAGCTCTCATCCTTTCTGCAATCATTTATACATTTATTCCCTTCCCCCTTCTCCATGCTACACGTACCATGGCATTTCGTTCCCACACATCTATTTCAATACCTGTATCATTCATACCTGTCCCGCTTATACACATATTTATATGGTAGTAAAGGCCGCTTTTGACATCTTCTATCCATTTGTAATTCACCATAGCGGATGTCCTTAGAGATTCTATCATCCACCATTCTCTAGGTGTGACCAAGCCACCCGAGCCTTCGAGAATTGAGAAAACTGTTTTAATACAAGTTTCCAAGACCTCACTGTTTTGATCCTGTCTTGCCATTTAATACGAAGCATTCTTATTAAGCATGACAGAGAAAACAATTTAGCGGTTTCTCCAGGTGCGAAGAAGTTAGCAAAGTTTCACTGCCACAAAGCGAATATAAAGACACAGGCCTGATAGACAAGAAACTGTGTTTTAACCACGAGCTTTCTGTTTTCATAAACTCTCTGTGGTAGTCCGCTCTTTTTGTTAATCTGCAGACAGAGCTTTATCTACATATTACATCACACGGACGACAAATAGGATTTTAAATAATCTAGACTTTTTGAAAAAAAGTATCAGAAATTAAAAGAAGAGGTAAGGCGTTTTATTTTAATTTTAACTGACCTTGTCTGGTTTCACACCAGGTACCCACATATCCCTGTGGACATTGACACACTCCAACAGTTCCACTGGCTACACATTTACCTCCATTGTAACAGCTGACTTTGCTGCACGGATCTGTGAACAAAATGCAGGCATATTCATGCTAACTATAACAAGTTTTTATTGTTATTCATGTTCTTCTCATTATTTATATTAACTTTTCAAAAACAGAAGACTGTGCTGATATGAATACGAACTTCCTTCAGATTCGACTATCTGAAAAAAATAATAATAATAATTGCAGGCTTTCAAATATCTGTTCGAACAAACCAGGCAAACAGCAACCTAATTTCTACTGGTGATGACATACTCCATGATTCCATTGGTTGTTTATTACACTTTAAAAAAAAATGACAGAAAAAATGCCCCTCACGCACAAGTATCATTCATATCTACACCTTTCTCAAAATGCATTGTGAGTGTTACAATCACATTATGCCTTTGGAGCGAATTGTCCAACCAGCGGAAAGCTGGTACCTTACATTCACGTTATGCGTATGCAAGAATCTGCAAATAGCCGAAAGCGACAATGACAAATATTTCTTAATTCTCAATGTAGATGTCATAGCACAATGGGCCAGGTTATTTTTAACTAAAGGGAGTCCGAGTGATTTTCAGTCTAAAGGAACTTCCTCTCCCTCTTAAAACTGAGCCCTCTAGACATATAATGACAGCACACTGACGGGAATTAGGAATTGAAATTTTCTAGACACTTTAAAATCAATAACAGACTCAGAAGGTACAAAAGAGAGCGGTTTAGGCATCCAGAGTATTTCTATTTTATTTTTGTGTGTAAAACTGACCCTGTTTAGTTTCACACCAGGTACCCACATATCCCTGTGGACATTGACAAACTCCAACAGTTCCACTGGCTACACATTTACCTCCATTGTAGCAGATAACATTGCTGCACGGATCTGTGGACAATATATATCATGCTTTCTGTCAATATGCGTATTATCTTCAGCATTATAATCATCATGTGTGTGTTTGTGTGTGTGTATGCGTGTGTGTGTGTGTGTTGTCCATCAAGATGATGATCAAGATGATCACTATTTTTCATCAAGTAGTGAGGACAGGAAATGAGTATTATCATCATCATACTCATAATCATCAACACCATCATATTCAGTCTTTTATTTTTCAAATATGTTACACGATATAGAGTAAAACACATCAGTATTGACAACCCATTTCTAATCATACATTCCTCTTCCTTTGTTCAAGCCACCAGATCGTTTAATCACTGCACAGTCGGCATTTTGATGGGTGCTCAGTCCTCCGATGCTGCAGCTACTCCAAAATACCTCTACAGATTGTTTCCAGAAGGGGCTGGTAATTATGTCTTCTGTCTTGGCCTTGAAGGCGGCATGGATGTGCTTGGCTATGCTTTACCTCTGTGTCATGCAATCTTGTTAGTGTCAGAGTAATTCAGTTATCCATCCATAGTTCTGTTTATTGGTCAGCTTTCTTCAGTGTAGAGATTTCATTTGATAGAAGTGAACAGGCGACTAAATTAAGAACCTTTTGTGATGTATGACGGCACATCAGGATGATTATGATGTAGACTACTAACACCCCGACATCGCAATCTTCATCCTCACTATCATCATCATATCATCATTATCCCCACCATCAACATCATGATAATAGACCAAGTTAATTATAAACATAAATGGAGACCGCAAAGTATCACTAATGCTGAGCATCGGAAGAGAACTTACCAAGTTCCAGTGGACTATAGGATGAAGAAAAGACACTGGCTTTGGATAGGACACACGCTGCTAAAACGCGAGAACAGTATAACTAGAATGTCTTCGTACTAGAAGCACTAGGGTATAGAAACAAACACAGACCAAAAACACGGAGAAGTGAGCAAGAAAGTGATGTTAAAAAAAATTAGAGAGGGAGGGATGGCGAACATGGAGTGACTTGCATGCAATAACAAAGGATAGAACGATCTGGCATGAATGCTCTGAAAAGTCTAAATTCCGTTGCCAAATAGAAGGCAGAAGAAGAAGAAGGCCGACAGGGTTCGTTCTCTTAAACGATCACAAAAGTCATAGATCTCATGTCTTTTTACGTCCTAGACATAAAAAAAAAATATTTATTTTCACTTTTTGACACTCAGAGCTTCAATGTAATCAAATGTTAAAGAAAGAAAAAATTCACACACACATATATTTGAGCTTCGTTAATCAAAAAATTTTTTTTCTATGGTTAACACCTGTACAATAAAATAGAACAAGATAAGTAAGAAGAAACTCCACAGGGGAGCATGTACAGGAGGGGTCTACCAATCGCCAGTAGAAGTAATCTCTCGTCGACAAATGTTTCGGCCCACGAGCTCCTAGACATTTTTAGAAAGTGGGCCCACCTGAGTTCATGAAGCTCAGGGTTCGTTTCCCCTGCTGCACGAATTACCGGAAGTTATTCGGACAGAAATAAAACTCAACACTAGTAAACATAAATTTCTTGTAGTGTCATATTATATCATAAACGAACCTTGTTTCGTTTCACACCAAGTACCCACATATCCCTGTGGACATTGACACACTCCAATAGTTCCACTGGCTACACATTTACCACCATTGTAGCAGAAGACTTTGCTGCATGGATCTGTGGACAACATAGAGTCAAAATCATGATTTGCCGATATTTTTATTACTATCAGAATTATAATCAACATCATCATAATCGTCAAAATTTGTATCATTACTATATGCTTTTATTCCCAGTTTCCTCTTTGAAATCTATTACACAATAAATAAAGTAGTAAACATCAATGTTGAAGATCTCTTCTAAGTCTAACATTCCATTTTCTATTTTCAAACCTTCAAAATGTTAAATGTTGCCCCAGTTATGTTATCGCAATCGACGTCATTGCACATTAGGATCTTCCACAGGTGCTTAGCATTCTGATGCAGCAGCCACCCCAAGATTCCTCTACTGATTGTCCCCATTATGTGCTGGCTAAAATATCTCCTATCCTAGTCTCGAAGGCGACATAGACGTCCTTCGCTATTCTTTACTCCCGTAGCGCGCAATCGTGTTAGTTTCAGAGTATTTCGGTTGTTAATAATTGATTATATTTATAGGCCAGCTTTTTGTTAAGCTTTAGGATTTCTTAACATCGTAATCCATGGTATGGTATTAATTTATATTTAACCACTTCCATCACCAGTATAAGAGAATCCATAAGACGAACGTTGCTGAGAGTTTTATTACATTAGTCGTCCCCATGTGAGATGCAATTTTTCTATTATTTGAAGCGCCCCCCCCCCCCTAACTGGCTTTTGTAAGGGGCGCTGAATATAGCCTAACGGCTGAAAGGGGTTTTTGGGACCTCTCAAAGGGTGATCCTCATCCGCATGGTGGCAGTTTGTATCATCAAGTGTTTATCTCTTGTGTGATGTCCTGGAGGGGCACAACGAGAGAGAAAGAGAGAGAGAGAGCGAGAGAGAGAGAGAGAGAGAGAGAGAGAGAGAGAGAGAGAGAGAGAGAGAGAGAGAGAGAGAGAGAGAGAGCGTTGCTGAGACAGGCTAAAGGTGCAAGATTGGATTCCATCCCCGAAACCGAGAAGACAGCACTGGCTAGAATAGAACAGACGACTAAACTGCAAACCTTTTGTGATAGGATGATGAAGACTACAACCACCATCACCACCGTCACCCTTATTATCATTATCATTGTTAAGGACCACTCTGAATGTATATTTTTTGTAAAATAAAACCACTAACAGCTCCACTACAATCATCATCATCATCATCATCATCATTATCATCATAGAAATTGTTAATAATTTAAAAACATGTAGACGGCCAAGATATGCCGTCTTACACGAACACAAAAATTATGGATTAGATCTACCCCTCCCCCTTTTCCCCCAACCAAGGATATTTTCGGAGCCATAATTGAAAACATATCAGATATATAGTTATTGTTCATTATTTCAGACACAAAACTTGTATAAAATAGACACTTTAGACACTTAAAAATATGATTACGAAAAGATAAAAACCCGAACGAAAAGTATATAATGTATTGATTAAGACATAAATTATGGTTTACGCCACCTAATGAGAAGAGATGCCATGGAAAACATCGTGACAACTAGAAAGATCAGTGGAAAGAGGTGTAGAGGCACACCAAAATAGAGAATGCTGGTTACGCTGAAATGGAGGGTTATCATCAAGAGAACTAGTCCAGGTAACAATCGATCATGATCCGTGGAGATGCATGAGTGCTTACCCCAACTAGCAGGACACATTACGATGATGATGATGATAGGATTTATACGTGTACGATAACAGAAGCCGAAGTACAATACAGCACTGATAAAAACATTGTTTTCTGTCTAACGGTATCAGAAACTGACCTTGTTTAGTTTCACACCAGGTACCCACATATCCCTGTGGACATTGACACACTCCAACAGTTCCACTGGCTACACATTTACCTCCATTGTAGCAGATAACATTGCTGCATGGATCTGTGGACCCAATACAGGCACATTCATGCTTACTTTCCCTTTATTTATTTTTTTTAATTTATTTATTTAATTATTTATTCAAACCTATTAAATACAGAAAACATTAGACACATATGAATGCCAGCTTCGCACAAATTGGACCATCTGAACACAATAATTGTAGACTTCTCTGTTCGAATAAACCAGGCAAGTAGAAATATAATTTTTCTTAGTGATATCACACTCCAAGGTCCTTAAAAACATCACAGGGACGCGCTCATGACACTTAATACATGAAAACTGACATGGAATTCTGCATGCAGCATCCATATATTTTGCATGTGCGAGAATGCACTGTGAGTCCGTTACCATCACGTAATGACTGTGCAACTCATTCTCCAACTACTACGAGAAGGTTACAATGAACGGAATCACTTCTATTCTCAATCTAGAAATTAAAAAAATTCATAAGCCAGAGTTTCTGACACTTAAGTCCGTCAACTTATTTCTGATTTGAGTCCAGTGGCACAATTGCATCTTAAAACATGCCATATATACATAAAAGAAATCACACAAGAATGATGATTTTCAATAATCTAGTTTGATTAAAAAATAATAAAGTAAAAGAGACAACGAAAAAATAACCTCGAGCATACTGTAAGAATGATTTAGATTATATTAAACTGACCTTGCTTTGTTTCACACCAGGTACCCACATATCCCTGTGGACATTGACACACTCCAACAGTTCCACTGGCTACACATTTACCTCCATTGTAGCAAATGACTTTGCTGCATGGATCTGTGGATGAAATCACGCTCATCGTCAATGTTTTTATCATTATTAGCATAATAATCATCATTATTATCATCAACATCATTGTCATCTTTATTTTCACTATATCTGTTACACGATATATAAAATAATAAACATCTTACATTACCCTTACTTTATTCAAGCCACCAAAACGTTTAATGTGTTCAAAGTATTTTTTCAAGCCAATGTGCTGTTCATGAGCCAGTTTTCTTCAATGTTCAGACTTTGTAGAGTCTATTTGTTAACATAGTTCCACATGTTGGTTCTGTGGCTCCATTTTGAAGAACGAGATTTGCACCCACTGCTCTTTCATTTAATAATACAATTTTTTAAAAATAACTCTGTAAACTGTAATTTCAAATAGACCTCACCCTATAATATTGTGTTGGGAGTATCCACACCAAATTTCACGTCTCTAGTCTTTATATTAACTGAGATTTTAGGAGATCGCACACACAACAAACAGAAATATAGAATTGTTAGAAAAGTGACTATTAAACTTTTTTTCATCTTAAATAAGTGCATGGGTTGGTGTCTTTAGTATTAACTTTTTAATGCTAAACTGTTTACCAATGACACAAATTTTGTGTGTAATCTATTCTACGAATGCCTAACACTACAAAAATGAACACATTGAAAAAGTGATATTTTTGTCATAAATTGGAAAAAAATGCCGTGTAGTGACCCCTTGACAAGCATATCGAAAGAGATAACTAGTTAGTGGTGTTTCTTTTAAAGTCGGAGTGCATATATTTAAGAGGCAATAAATCCACAGTTTGCACACAAGTATACCTCATTTGTTAAACAGATGTGCACGCAAAATTAAGGTTTTAGGGCAAGACTAAAGTCCAGAATTGGAAAAACAACAACTTTCCAACGCAGTTTACTGCAGGCTAACGCTAAGAATAGGAAGTAGAAGAGATAAATCCTAATCCATTGTGTAGCAATAATGTGTATTTAACCACTATACCAATAGATTCTGAAGAAACCCTAAGACGAACATTGTTGAGAGAGGCCAAAGACGCTGCAAGGATTTCTTGCATGGCATTGAGAAGATTGCACAAGATAGAACGAAATGGACAACTAGCTGTGAGCCTTGTCTGATGTTTGACAACACAACAATATGAATATGATAAAGGCTACTACTATCAACCCCACCGCCCCATTATCATCATCATTATCATGGAAAGTGCCAGTATGTTTGCATATTTTTTATAGAATAAAACCAACAACACCTTCACCAGAATCATCATCATCATCATTGTTATCACAGATTTTGCTAAACATTTAAAATCGTGTCGACAGCCAAAGTTTGCCAGCTTATACGATTACAAAAGTTATGGATCAGATCGGTGTCGTTTCCCACCACTCCCTCTCCAGCTCCTCCTCACGCCAACCCCAACCATATTTTGGAAACTATAAGGAAAAACAAATAAGATATTTAGTTATAGTTCATTACTACAAACACAGAACTTATATACACAAGAACCTGACCCAAAAAAAGACGTATTTGATTCTTTACTAATAAATACTTAAAAAGTATATGGTTTACACGCATACAGTAACAGAACCCGAAATACAACAAAGCACTGATTAAAATGTGTTTTTTTCCTTCTGTGATTTTGTATCATAAACTGACCTTGTTTGTTTTCACACCAGGTACCCACATATCCTTGTGGACATTGACACACTCCAACAGTTCCACTGGCTACACATTTACCACCGTTGTAGCAGATAACATTGCTGCATGGATCTGTGGACACAATACAGGCACATTAATGCTAACTATACCTCACTGTATTAATTTATTTTTTAATTATTTAAACTAAAAAAAAAAAAAAAAAACATTGCAGATATACGATTGGCAGCTTCACACACATTGGACCATCTGGGGAAAAAAATTAGACTTCTAAACATCTGTTAAAAAAACCCAGGCAAACAGCAATATAATTTATCTTAGTGATATCACCCTCTAAGGTCCTAAAAGACATCCCAATCGAAGCTCATTACACTCAATACATGAAGACTAACACGAGATTCTGCACACAACTTTCACATCTTCGCATGTGCCAGAATGCACTGTAAGTACGTTACCATCACGTCATGAGTTTGCAACAATTTCTCCAACCACTACGTGAAGGTTACAATGATCGGATTTACTTATATTTTCAATCTAGAAATTGGAAAAATCCTAGGCCAGAATTTCTGACACTCAGTGCACTCCATTTATTTCTGCTTTGAGACCAATGGCACAGTTGCTGCTTAAAACATGCTATACATACATATTATGACATCACAAGAGAATTCCGATTTTAAATAGCCTAGCTTAATTTTAAAATAATAAACTAAAAGAGACGAAGACATACAAAAATCAACCAATTAAAAAAAATGTATCTAGCATACTTTAAAAAAAAAAAATCAGCCAAATATATTAAATTAGTTATCAAGAATACTTTAAGAATGTTCTATATTATATAAACTGACCTTGTTTAGTTTCACACCAGGTACCAACATATCCTTGAGGACATTGACACACTCCAGCAGTTCCACTGGCTACACATTTACCTCCATTATAGCAGATGAGTTTGCTGCATGGATCTGTGGATGAAATCCCGCTCACCGTCAATGTTTTTATTAATTATTAGCATTATAATAATCATCATTATCATCAACATCATTATCATCCCCCACCTCCATATTTGTAACATTATATATAAAGTAATAAATATCAGCGTTGACAAAGCATTCGTAGTCTCACAGTCGTCTTACTTTATTTAAGCCACCAAAACGTTTAATGTGTTCAGAGTATTTTATTTTTCAAGACACTGTGCTGTTCATGGGCCAGTTTTCTTCAATGTTGAGACTTTGTAGGGTTTGAATATATTGTTAACATCGTTCCTCATGTGGATTCTGTGGCTCCATTTTGAAGAACAATGAATGCACCAACTGCTCGTTAACAAGCATATCGTAAGAGATAAAAAACTAGAGGTGTTTCTTTTAAAGTCAAAATGCATATATCTGAGAGGCAATAAATCAACTATTTGCACACATGTATACCCCATTTGTTAAACGTTTTAGGACAAGACTAAAGTCCAGAAGTGGACGAACAATCATAACTTTCCCATGTAGTTTACAGCAGGTAGACGCTAAGAATATAAAGGAGAAGAGATAAATCCTTATCCATGGTGTAGCAATAATGTGTATTTAACCACTATACCAATAGGTCCGGGCGAAACCCTAAGACGAACATTGTTGAGAGAGGCCAAAGATGCTGCATTGGATTCCATTCATGACATTGAGAAGATTGCACAGGATAGAGTAGAATCTACGACTAGACTGTGAGCCTTGTCTGTGAATGACGACACAATAGGATGTTTACAATAGGGGCTAAAACTAGAACCATTGTCGCCATCTTCTACATCATCACCACCACCACTACCATCATCATCATAATCATCATCATGGATCATGTCAGTAGTTTTTTATATTGTTGTAAAGTAGAACTATCAAAAAAATTCATCAACATCATCATTATCATCACTACCACCACCACCACCACTACCATCATCATCATCAAATGCTATGCCAATAAGTTTATAATTTTGTCGTAAAAAAACATCACAAGAATCATCATTATCACCATTATAATCTTCTTTATCATCGTCATCTCTTTTTTTATGCTAATAGTCATCACTAGCATCACCATAATCATGACCACTATTATCCTTATTATCATCATAATCATCACTATCACCATCACCATCATCGTCATCATCTGTATCACCACTTTCACTATCATCCCCACCATCACCATCGTCACCACCACCATGTTCATCAAAATCACCACCACCACCACCACCACCATCATCATTACCATCATCATCATCATTATCTTCATAAACACCAGAGTCATCATCATCATTATCATCATTAGCAGAAGCTTTATCATCATCACACCCATCATCATCATCACCACCACTATTATTATCATTATCGTCATCAAATTTATTTTTAACATCATCCTCATAAACTAAGCTAATAAAATATATAAATGTAGACTGTCCAAGTTTGCCATCTTGTACGATCATTAAAACCAAGGATCAGATTAGTGTTTTTCCCTGCCCTAGCCATTTAGAGAAGAACAACAAAATCATTTATTTATTTGAAGTTCATTTTTCGACATACACACCATCTTTAAAGTAAATGATTTCAAACACAGAGACATCGATTTCGTCTTCATTGGTTGAGGAATGATGTATCGTTTACAACTGTACAATTACATAAAGTGAAGTAAAGTAAAGTAAAGATCTCTTTTCACGTATTTAGGCGTATCAGGCATATGGGAAGAGCATCCATATTTTTACAGACCAGTCAGCGCTAGGTGGATAATGTGGTCAGAATTACTCTGACCGCTTTTACTTCACCAGTACATACATCCTAGTACCCATTTTAGACTGGGTCGATCTGCGACGCCCCATACCACACAATAACATAGAACCAGAAATAAAACAGCACTGATAAATACGATTTTCTCGTAGTGTCTTTCTGTATCATAAACTGACCTTGCTTCGTTTCACACCAGGTACCCACATATCCCTGTGGACACTGACACACTCCAACAGTTCCACTGGCTACACATTTACCTCCATTGTAGCAAATGACGTTCCTGCACGGGTCTGGAACAACACATGATGATAAAAACTCACTGCTAATGTTTAGGTTTATTATATAAAATCTAAAAAATCGGTATATGTGTATTCTGCATATCCAAGATTTAAAAGAAAAAAATTTGCTGAGACATCGTCATAGTAAAATGCCGTTGATTGCAGCTTGCATTCATACATTTCTAACTACTGTAATCGTGTCTTAAACTGACCTTGTTTAGTTTCACACCAGGTACCCACATATCCCTGTGGACATTGACACACTCCAACAGTTCCACTGGCTACACATTTACCCCCGTTGTAACAGATAAGATTGCTGCATGGATCTGTGGAAACGATATAGGAACATTCATGCTAACTATGCCTCACTATATTCATTTTTGTCTAAAATATTCAAACTGAATAAAAAAAAAAAAAAAAAAAAAATTAAAAAAAAAAAAAACATTGGATTTATACGATTGGCAGCTTCATACAAATTGGACCATCTGGAAAAAATTTTACTTCTACACATGTGTTAAAAAAACCCAGGCAAACAGCAATATAATTTATCTCAGTGATATCACACTCTAAGGTCCTAAAAGACATCCCAATCGAAGCTCATTACACTCAATACATGAAGACTAACACAAGATTCTGCACGCAGCATTCATATCTTTGCATGTGCCAGAATGCACTGTGAGTACGTTACCAACACGTCATGAGTGTGTAACTAATTCTCCAGCCACTACGTGAAGGTTACAATGATATGATTAAATTCTATTTTCAATCTAGAAATTAAAAAAAATCCTAGCCAGAGTTTCTGACACTCAAGTCACTCCATTTATCTCTGCTTTGAGTCCAGTGGCACAGTTGCCGCTTAAAACATGCCATACATACATATTATGACATCACAAGAGAATTCGGATTTTAAATAGCCTAGCTTAATTTTAAAATATTAAACTAAAAGAAGACACACAAAAATCAACCAATTAAAAAAATGTATATAGTAGGCATGCTAGTGAAGTTTTATATTTTTGGTTTTTACTTACGAAATCATAACAGCTAGATAAAGATTAAAATGACAAATCCAATGGTACCTCATTTAAGCCTGCAAGTCGATTCTAAGCGGAAATATTAACATTTTAGTGGCGGACACCAGGACAAAAAAATTGTAGTAGAAATCTATAAAACATGGCTTCCCGGCTGCGACCCAGTGAGATGAAATGACTCAATGTTTGATTTTACGGCCATTACTTTTTTTGTTTTCTAAACGAACACCTTAGCAACCATGTATTGCTAGAATCTGGACAGTGAGACCTAACCGTTTATGCATGTCTCAATTACATACACTACGATATGCGCCTATTTAACATATGAAAATGTCTCCAGGCTGATTATTTTTCATCTAAAATCTCATACATTTACAGTTGTCTGCCAACGAGCCTGGCTTAATACATATCATATTGTGTGTCCTGGCAAGGCGAACATAAAGATCATATAAATTTGCCAATGTCAGTTGACGTGACCTAATTAACAAATACCCGACACCCCCCCCCCCCCCGCGACAGCGATATTACCCGGGGTGGTCGTATCTCCGCACAGTAATGACACCCGGGGTGGTTGCACACCCCCCCCCCCACAGTGATGATACCGGGATAGCCGCACCCCTTCCTGGTACCTTTCTTTCCCTGGTATCTCTCCTCTTTTTTTCTTTTTTTCCCTTTCCTTTCTTTTTCCCCATGTCTCAGTGTCGACATTATTTTCTTAGTCTCTTTTTTTGTTCGCCCTCTCTCCTCCTCCTGCTCCCCTCTTTCTCAACTTTCTCTCAGTCTTCTACTCCCCCTCCCCCAACTCTCCATTCTGTATGGTAGAAGAAAATATGATCCCACTGGTAGTACACGCCCTGTTTTCATAATGGGTCGGTGACAGTGTTAACAACAGGGCTAACACAACAGGTGTGTTCATTTCTCGGAATCAGGTCAGGTCGGATTTTCTTTTCTTTCAAAAATGACCTTGGCTCCCATGTCCACCCAGCATTGAATGTAAGAAATTGATCTATAGCAGCAGACACACTGACAGCCAAGCATGGGAGGGTTGCCAATGGGATTTTTGTCAACCCCGAAGCTAAGCTTAAGTCACGGAGTGAATCAACCAAACCCTTCTCAGCAGACTCGTCGTGACGTTGACGAACCAAGCGGGCAGGTCACATTTCAAATTTAAACCCGCCCGGTGGGTATATATTCCCTCATATTGATATATACCTCTATGTGGTGGAATAGATATTTCTATACCCTCTAGTTGTTTTGAAAAGTTTACATTTTCAAACTTGCCACTGTGGGATAGATATTTTCTGGAATAATATTTCGAATTCCTGGAAACCTTTTTACACCTTGGTGCACTAATACAGGACTTTTTTTCTAGAGACGCCAAGCGAGATCAGGCGGGGCCATTCTTTGCCTGACTTCCTAGGTGTGCAGAAGTATGTCACCTCTCTGATTAAATTTTGGCGCATTCAAAATACCAGTTTAATCTTTGAAGGATTCCTAAGCTGATTATAGTTTACGAGTACCATGATACATGTCTCTATAAAGTTAGCCGCTGCTGCAGGGAGGAAA